CAATAAACGCCAACGCCGAGTTCGTTTATAGATTATTTGATTGGGCCAACAGCAGCCGCGGTGTTTAATGGACAATTGCCCATTAAGACAATGTGAGAATTAGAAAATCGCTCATTAACAAAAAAAAACCCAACCCCACCTTCTTGGCCAAAATGCGTTGACCTGGTTGTTGTCACACGCAGCATTAAACTGGAGCGTGGAGACATCGTTTGTCTTGCCACATTTTGTGCGAACCAAGTTTGGGTTTTAAGACCAAAAACTGCCCAATGCGTTGCGTATTTTTCACCGATGTGTTATGTAAGTTCTCTGCAAATGGCTCGCTTCTCTGCGATTTGTCAAGATGTCCAATTTGGCTCAAACGCTGACTGGCAATACAGTATGCAAAAAGCCAAAAGCAAAAGCACGCTGATTGGACACCCACAACTGGCCTGTGGCTCAGCCTAAATATATTTCTCTCTCTCATTTTGACGCCTAATTTTTGTGGCTTACAAGCTTTGCGGCTATTTTTTCTTTTGCCACCAAACATAAAAAAAAACTCGAAACAAACGGCAAAGAAATTCGCATTGAACGTGACTTGAGCTAAGCTGTAGACATGAATGTGTTTGATTTTTATCAGCCGGGTCTACAATATTTCAGTTTTAGCCATTTACTTTGCGCATTTTGCTTTGCCTTTTGACTGGCGCCCATTGTTACCCGCTGTTTTTTTTCATTTTGCCTCGAAGGCACAGCTAAAACTAGTTTTGTAGTTCCGTTTTTGCTTTGGGTCCGGGTTTTGCGTCTAGAAGTACTTAAAATGGAGGCTCCCAGCGACATTGGCAACGGCTACTGCTGGTCAACAAGCTAAGCATGGGCCTAATTCGTCATTAAAGCTCATTTATTGGGGGCTGTTTTAAATGCAGATACTTGGTGCTGATGAGGGAATCCACTGATGAGCCAGAGACACGGGCATTACAAATTACTGGCTTCCAGTGCTGACCTCACCTTTCTCATAATAACTTTATCCACGATTCCCTGGGCTCGGTTTATGGGTTTGTATTTTAAAGATGTACGTAGAATAAATGATCTCATACTTGGACTAATGAGCGCAGAACTTGGCAGAAGTGAGAAACTTTTATTGTATATTCGATTTATGAAAAGAAGTTAAAAAACTTTAACCATAAATAACAATTAGTGTTGGTGTTATACGAATAAAATATTACTGTAAAATCGTATTGTCTAATAGCATAGATCTTAACAAATATTGCAAATATATATAAAGTAATATTATCAGCAGAAGAGCACTTACTTTAATTAAACTGAAATTATTTTTTTAGTACTATTTTCTAATGTTACAAATCTGAATACCTGTATTGTTTAAGAACTTAATAAAAAGTTCTTTTATTATTCACTAACTCAAAAAATACATTTGAAAAGTATTAAATAGTACCTACATTATTGTAATTGCATTAACATTCTAATAAAAAGTGAGGAACATACATTTGAGAATGCTTATTTTCAGCCGTAACAGATATCCCAGAACTTATGCCATTTGGTAAAGCACACCATTCTCTGCTCACTTCCTTTAGCCGCAGTCCAACTCAAGGCGGTTCAAAAGTCTTGGCCTGCCACACCCCATTTAAGGTTTGTATTTGAAAGTGTTTCGGAATGAATGGAACAAACTCGTATTCAACTGCAGTCGCGCTGTTTTTTTTTTGCGTGGGGTTGGTCTAAGGTAAAAGCCTGCATTTAAGTCCGCTTGAGTTTGCCAATGTTGATTTAATTCGCCAACGGTGGCGAGGGAGGCGGAGGAGTGGGGGGTGGTAGCGGATCAACTAGCCAGACGACTTTTCATTTTCGGCCAAAAAACAAACAAGAAAAAACCAATGCACATTGTCCAGACCGGAGAGGCAAAAAAAACAAAAAAACAGCATGTGACTCACGGCTGTGTTTTCGGGCACGCCTTTCGCTAGCATTTTGGGTTTTTGCATAATTAGTGGCAAGCGCCAACGTGTCGTATGAGTAATGTAATCTTCAAGTTCGTTGCCTAAGTCTTTCGTTTCAACTGTAAATCAATACCAACGACCAAGCGGGAAATCTAACGTTGAAACGGTCTTAGTCTGGTTGAATGAACTCACCATTTTTGGCGCTTTCTTTGTCAGTTCTTCGGCGGAAGATTATTAATCAATTACACACCTTTTGGCAAGCCCACACGCATTTTGCGGCTTAGTTCATGAACCCCCCGAAAATCCGGCATTTGTCATCATTGGCTTTAAAGTTGGAGGAAGCTTGTTGTTTATTTCTCTCACTTAAGCTCGCCCATATGTACATACACCTCACAACAGCAAAATAATACGAAATTATACATACAATCATATTTCCCGTCTTTATTTTATTTTGTGCCCGCTTCAAGGTCACTTCAAACTGCTGTCTGGCTGTTATATAAACAAGTTAACTACACGATGGCTCAGAAAACTGGTATTCGAGCAGCTCGAGCGCGGATTCGCCTTTTAATTATACAAATTTTACGCTTGCGTTGGCGTTCCTCAAACTCAAAGCCTTCTGAGAATGTCGGAGAACTGGGAAATCTTCGACAGAAGTCTAAGTTAGACCCCTTCCATATCCAAAAGGCCATTATTTACTAGACAAGGCGTTGCATTCAACGCAGATGAAGACCATTACATTGGCCAGACAATATTTTGATAGCCAACAAACCACAAATTAACCAATTAATAGGCCATGCATCACCGAAAAATGAAAGGTTCCCATACAACCCATACCCAAAATCATAGATGATGCAAGTGTCGGATGGTTTGAAACACGGCATCTCCATCAATCAACTTTCCTAATTGCTTCTTTAGACGCCAACTCATATACAATGGAAATGAAGATAATTATGGCCTGTAAGATCCATGAAAGTGCTAAAAGTTCCACAAGGAGAAGAACCCGAAACCGAAGCTTTGCCGGGGATTGTTAGGTCAGCCAATTAGCAACCGATTCTGGCTTATAATGGCCGCACACAAAGTGTGGAAAATGTGAATGGACCCGGGTTACCAAGACCCCAATGACACATTACTTATGCGCTGCACATCCAGGAATGGGTATTGAAAACTGGGAACTGGAAATGGGAAACCGGGAAAAGCGGATGCTCGACGGAAGTCCGTGATATAATTGCTTAAATAGCCAACCCCATCCTTACCATAATAAAATTGGTGTCCCCAGATGGTGATGTAACTGGCTGCGGACTTGGCAGCCAATTTTGGCCACAGGCAACCTTGGCAAACAGGTTCAGATCGCCAGGCAGATGGGGACATTTTTTTTTGCCTCAGAAAAACGCAGATAAAACCCATTTAATTTGCACAGAAAACAGATTGCAATGCTTCTTCAATTTATTCCCCCAAGTACAAGTATTCCGTGAATTTCGAGCGAGGCGAAATGAAGCTAACCGGTTTGGCTGATGGATTTTTGGCACATCCACAGCGTTCGCAGCGATTTATGAAGTCATCTTTTAAGGCTGTTTCGGTTTTGTTTTTGCAAACGGCACAAACTTCGATTTTCTGCCTGATTTTAACTGTTTCTCTTTGCGGTTTTTTCGGGGCTTTTGGCCAACTCCGTAACACTCACCTCTATCCAACTTCGCCCTTTTTGCGTAATCCAATTTGTTATGTGTCCGTTGTTTGGCGATTTTGCTAAGCTTTAAACTGGTTGCCCGGAACGTTGATGATTTTTAAATATTTTAACGAAATTTTGGTTTCACATTAGTTTGATGGTTTTTTTTCAATACTTCCTTGGTGGTATATATTTTTTTTTTGCGGGCTTCCTCTATAATTATTTCGTTTTGTGGCCAACACTCGTTTTACATGTTAACGCTGCGGGAATTGCACATTTAAGAGTTGGCCAAGAGAGGCCAAAGAGTCGAAAAGAGTGGCTCTTTGGCGAATTGTGGCAAAAAAATGTTGTTGCTGGTGCTGCTGCTGCTGCCGCTATTACGCTGTCTCAACACAAAAGACTGAAGCAACAAACTTTCCGACACTTTTACACTTCCCCAGAAAACAACGCGAAACATTCAAAAGATTCACAAATCATTCAGCACGTATTTGCTGGGCCCGGTTCAACCACCCGTCGAGCTTAATAGCTTCCCAAGGGCAACAACAATCAGAGAAAAACACGACAAAAATATCACAAACACACAACAGCAACAACCGCAACTATTTCAAATCTCGAAAACCCAATCGAAAATCTTTTTTTCAACCACGGAATGGCGTTCCGAATCCGTTTGCACGATCCAATTAGAACCGAGTAAACGGAATTCAAGCCGTAGAATTCAAATCACTCGAGAGACTCACGCACGATTTGGAATCGAAACGAATCGTAAACGGATCGTATGTGATCGAGGTTCGTTGAGCGCTGTGGATGTGTCTAGCACTCCAACCTGGCCAAGACTGACTCGGCCCGAAGCCGAAGCGATCGCACTCCGACAAAACCGTCAAGACGGGCGGCCCAACAACCGGTCTTGCCAAGATTCGGAGTAGCGACGCTCTGGCGGCTATCGGTTTTCGGAGCAATTGGCAAGTCTAGTTGCGCTCTTAAAACGAGCTCTTCACGAAGATATAGTAGTACACTAGGTACCCAGGCAGTGCTGATGTTTGCGGTCGTCTTGGTGTCGCTGCCAGTTTTTCAGCAGCAACACGTCGTCCATTTCAGCTGCACTTCATGATCGGCGGGACAGGGGGCCACGCTCCGGTGGCTCCCTTTAATACACCTACGGGTCCAGATTGTCTTTCTAATGAGTGCGGCATAATTAGAGGGTCGGGCGGTGGTTATCCCATATCGCAAGTCTACACTTAGGGAAAACAATAGCCAGGAATTAAAAAAATAGGAAAGTTTTAAGGGAAGTAGTTTTATTCGTATTATAATAAAATTACAATAGGAAGATTAAAAAAGTCTTTCCTTTAAACGATCCAAATTTAAGAAACAATTTGCTGAGTGAAAATATTTTTATTATACGCCAACTTTATTTCAATAAAATTCTGTATAAACTTAGAATTTAACTTTGGTTATGCAACATATAAGAATTACAATTACTTGCTCCAGATTTTAAAAGAATGTATTGATACAAAAAATGTAGATACAAATTAGAGGTAATGCTTTACTACCTCTTAATCTTAAAAAACATTTATTTTAAGAAGGAATAAGAAATTATAATACTTATCGAATTATATAAAAATAAAGTCCCAAAAATAACTATAAATTAAGGACTACTTGTTATAATTTCTAGCTTTCATTCGAGTGTTTTTAAAAACCCCCTCCAGACCAAGCGTCATGGTTTTGGCCACAGCTGTGCTGTCGCAACTGGAAGCCAGGTTCTGCTCAAACTTGGCAACAGACCCGCTGCAATTATGGCCAGTGTGTGGGCTGTCACCAGAACACCTTGATGACGGCATATATAGCCACTGCTAAGGCTGATTGAATCAACGAGCGGCCTCTCGCTGTGGGACAAATGTTTTATCATCTTTTGTTTTACTTCGGTTGCACATAAATCTTGAACTTGCATTTACATTCTGTGAACCCAACACCCTTGCACCCTCGAAAATACAGGTACGAGTACAGGTAGCTGTGACATCTAGCGAAGACCTCGAATTGTTCTTATATTCGGGGCTATTTCCCTTGAAGTCGCGCGTTTCTGTTTATACTTTTAGTTATACCAATATTTATGATTATTATGCGTGTTCTTCTGTTTGACTTTTGATCCTCATGGAGAATAGGGAAAAATTGGTTTAAGTGGACGAATTATTGTTTTGAGACGTGTTAGAATTCTCGGCAGTGGAAAAGCTGATTCCCTCAATACCCACTTTTATGCATTTAAAGTATTTACCATAAATTAACCATATTCAAAAGTGTCTTTGAAAGATTTTGTTATTGATATTGAACTTTAAAATATATTTCTAGATTTCTTCCGAGGAAGAGAAGATAAAAATATATTAATTTCAATGCTTTTAGGAGTTTTTATATTTTATACATTATAAATAATTGTACAGATTCTACTTAATTCAAGGGTAAGCTCTTATGAAGTCGTTCATCTTTCTGCGACAGTCTTTAATGATTCATGCCGGAAAAGTATATTTATGGTTCAGTTACATCAGTCAAATTCTGAAGAGTATTAGCATAGTCAGCCCACGCGATTTGGTATCTTTTGTGTGAATTATAGCACCCACGCTTGTTTATCAAGTTCCTCATTCCCCAAAAGAGTTTCAGAGGGGCAATCAAAATCCAAGCAACAGTCGCCTGGGGGGAAAATCGAACAAACCGAAAAACCACCCCATAACTCAGCAACAGGACATGGACTTCTCCTGGGACCGGGGCGATTCCCAGAAGCCGGCCGGGGAGCCAGGACTAGGTAGCCAGGGGTTACTGTCACTGTTTGGCATCCGGAAAATGTATTTACTACAGGCGAATTTATTATATCAACTTCGATATAGCCGTGTGGTGATAGCAAGCAAATTAAATCTGAGAAAAATTCAATGTGTTTAGTTTGTCCAGGTCATTTATCAAATCAGAGTCCCAATTGCAATAAACATAATCGCTGTTCCCGTATTGATCCACCGTAATGGCCGAGCTTTTGTGCCGCGAAAAGGAGCTGTTTAAAATTAACCAGGAGTTAAACCTGCTGACCCTCAGTTCCGCCGCCGATGCCTTGTATCCGGCTAAGGGATCACCCACAGCTGTGGCGGCTCCTCGATTTGCCACGTTCCAGAAGCACAAAGGTCCGAGCAGTTTGCTCCGAAAAAAGGGTGTCACCACGGCACCCACAAAGACGCGTCCAAAAACTCCGCCTGGCAGAGATGCGGTTGCCACAGCCCGAGGAGTGGTTACATCACCGCAGCCAGACACTAATCTGCTGACCAAGTCCAAGACGCCTGACTGGAGGCACAACAAGACCGCCGGCACACCCACCTCTCCCACGAGTCGCACGGTGTCCAAGTTCAGCACCTTCACGCGGGATGTGAGCAGCAAGACGGCCACGTTTGTCAAGTACCGGAACCCCAACTTCAGCGAAAGTCCATCGCTGGACGAGCTGCTGCGCAACGACGCCGAGGAGGCAGCCCGGAAACAGGAGGTCGAGGTCGAGGTGGAGGTCACCCAGAAGCGGGAGAGCACCACTGTCGTCAATGGCCAGCTCAAGAAGCAGGTCACCAAGGACAACTTTATCAAGTAAGTGGGGGAAACCAAGAAAAGGTAGCAGGGTACAACAGATGAAAGATATTCTCAGGTCTTTACCAATCGTATAATAACTTAACAAGATGCAATTTGATCGAATTAAAACTAGTCCAGGGTATTACTGTGTTTTATCCCAGACTTGGTTTAATTCGACACCTTTGTGCCCAGGTTTCTAAAGCAGATAAAATATATGGCGTCAGATTAAAATACGATTTAGAGAATGTAATACAGTGTAGGAATTCCGCTTTAGCATGAACAAAAACCTTTCTTGATTTATAAAATTACGATTCTATAAAATTAATAATATTGTTACAAAAATTATAGTAGGAAAAATATATTTCTATTAAAATTTAAAACCAATCCTTTTCATGAACATTTTAGGACTATTCTATAAAGTAATTAGAACCTGCTAAATAACTAAACTTCTTCTTTACTAAAATTTCAAACCATTTCACGACTCGTTGAAATAGTTCTCGAAAAAAAAGACAAAACGAAAAGTAACTTTCTTCTGCTTTTAAAAAGATCTAGTTATTAGAACAAATACATCAATAGTAAAAATTCAGAAAATAACCAATAAAAACCTATTAATTTTTCAAGGTTCCTCAAGGCCAAGGTGGCCATCCTGGAGGAGGACCACGCCCATCATGCCGGCGAGCTGACCCGCCAAAAGGAACAGCTTGAGCTCGCCCTGGAAGGGCAGCGAAAATCGGAGAACCAGCGCGACCAGACGATGAGTTCCAACAAGCATCTCTCCGAGCAACTGATGCGGGCGGAACGGCAGTGGGAGGATGCCAACCGGCGACAGAAGGAGCGCCAGCAGGAGTTCATCACCCAGCAGCGGGAGCTGGAGCAGCTGAAGCGGGATGCCAAGGTGTCCAGGCAGACGACCATGAACCTGGAAAACCGACTGTCCCGCGCCCAGGAGGATGCGGATACTGCCCGCCTGGAGGTCAAACAGCTGCGCGAGGAGCAGCGCGACCAGTTGGAGGCGCAGCGCAAGGAGCTGAAGCAGCGGGACAGCCGGATCCGGGCCCTGAAGCGCCAGCGGGGCGACCTGCTCAACGCCTACAAGAAGCAGCTCTACATGATCGACAACCTGAAGCGCCAGACCAGCTGCATGGAGCAGTCGGCGGCCATCGGGTTCGGCGAGAAGGAGTTCAACAAGGTGCTCGAGTGGAATGCCAAGACGTGAGCCCGTCCAGCTCTCAGAACGAAGTCTAGGCTAAGCATCTACGTTAAGCATAATACACCAATGTACATAAGTGGAATGTAATTACATTTTATGGTCTCTCTCACTCGTCCTCACAAGTCCCCAAGCAATCTCGTTTCAATTAGCCAGGGTTAACGCGATTAGGTGGTCGGTATCCTTCTGCTCGGTTGGCGGGTATAAAAGTCAGCGATTCGGATTGGATTGGCACAGAATCATCCGGTATCTACCAGCGCTCAGACCATAGTTCGCACACTGCCCACAACGCTCACCGAAAACTGCAAGATGGCTCTGCGATTCACGCTCACTCTGCTCCTCGTCACCATCCTGGTCACAGCCATTTTCCTGGGCTCCAGTGAGGCCGCCTACCGGAAGCCTCCCTTCAACGGCAGCATCTTCGGCAAACGCAACAGTCTAGGTAAGCTTGAAAGCCATATCCTGGTTGCGGTTTGATAGACCCATTCTTATCCCAATACAGACTATGACAGCGCCAAGATGAGCGCCGTTTGCGAAGTGGCCATGGAGGCGTGTCCCATGTGGTTTCCCCAGAACGACAGCAAATAGGACCACGCCCTGCGACTGCACCTCCAAGAACTGATCTCGAGCCTACGACTAATACACCAGCGACAGGTGGGCAGATGCTGCGCCTGCACCTGCGACTGAATGGGAAAATGCTAGACGTTAGAAAAGTCATGTATAAAATTTATAGTGTAAGCCGTGCATATAGGTACATAGAACTTATGCCATACATATACATACAATACTCAATAAACTTACAGCACTGAACTCGCTCATCTGTTTCAAAATTATTGAAATATTCTAGTAGATACCTGGATGCGAACAGCACTCGCTTGAGATACAATGGGATTAAAATTAAAAATACAGTTTGCTGATTTCCTAGTGGGTCCTAGCTTCTCGGCCACGTCCCCGATGCCTCAGTTCGTTGACATGCTTGCGCAGATTTGTTATATAATCGGTCATGGATGAGGTGAGGGCCTGCAAAGAGTTATTCAGGACTGAAACTATAATCAAATAGGTAAGATTTAAACAACTTACTGCATCCAGGACATAGCGAGGAATATAGCCCTTTAGATCCAAACAAAGCACCCATTCTACGATGCAGCTATCCGACTTGCCAACGATTTCACGAAAGGCAAACCCGCTGACAATGTTCTGACCTCTGAAATTTAGAGTACCAAATCCCCATTTTACATTTTTGTCAAATTTTTTGAATTGCAATCTCACCTTGTGTATTTGGATGAGGGTGGAACCCCCGCATATTGCACACTAATCGCAGAGGTAACCCAAACTTTATCCTTGGTTTTGCCCACGCTGGGTACATTTGGTTTTGTAATGGTTTCGGTTTCGCCTTCGACCTTGTCCTTGGCATCCTGGAACTCGTCTTGATCCAGCGGCGGTGGTTCTTCCTCAAAGTTGACAATGGGACCCAAGCTCTTGGCGCCCAAGCTGTTGCCCAGCGTGTCGAAGGGAGTTGTGGCTCCCTTGGATGAACTGGGAAATGTGGCCTTGCAACTGGATACGCTGCTGGGCAGCAACGGTGTGTGCGAGTCCGCATCCGAAATCGTGCTAACACTGCCTTCACAGGAGCGATTCAGACTGCTGTTGCCATCATCGCTGCTGAGTTCTGCCGCCTCATCGTCATCGCAGATTTTTCCATTATAAAAGAGTCGACAAGACCGTAGGTTGACAAAGTCCCGGCTTTTCACCATACCACCTCCTCCGCCAACAGAGACCTGATAGGTTATATCGGTGTAGGAGTTGACTTTCTGTAACATACATTCAATATCATTAAAAGGTTTTTGATTCCACTCCTTGTATTGTTACCCACTCGCACTATTTTCGACTCTAGAAGAGCAGGATTCCATTTGGGACAGTCTTCAATGCGATAGAATAGATCTTCCATCAGCGCCTTAGCAGGATACTTGATGCGAGCCTGGGAAAAAATATGAATTTAGTGAAATAATATTAAAAAATAAATTGCCTCAACATACCGTCAGCTTGTAAATCTTCCCAATCTTGTCCCGCTGAGTGCTGTGAATGGTGTCGCCCTTTTGGGTAACCTTCTCCATCTTCCAGTCACTGGACTCGATGATCTCAAAGGCCTTTCGCAGGCAATCCAATCCCATTTGGGTGTACTCCTCATCCTGAAATCCAATCGATTTAAAAAGATTAGTTAGGCAGCAAGATCTTTAAACAAACAACTACCGATGTCATCTGAACACACTCTTTTGGTCGATGCTCTGATCATTCATCCGTTTAGCATCTTATATAGTCGCCAGGCTTACTTTCTTATTCTGGACCGACTTAAAAATGCGCATACATGAATATCATACCTCCTCTTCCTCCTCGTCAGAGTGATGAGCCGTGTCCATGGGTGAATAAAAATTAGTAACACTTTGCGAGGTCCGTTCATGCTCTATCAAAATGGCCGGCTGTTCCATTGGCGTGCGATCATTAGAGGTCATAGCTTAAATGCAAAATAAAACTAATATTTAATCTGAGATCAGTGAAAGTCAGCCTAAACTTACTTCGAAAATAGTGTTGGGCATGCCGCTCCTGGGGAATTACACGACAATCCAGGAACCATGCCTCTCCCCAAGCCAGTATAAATGAGGTTATTATTAGGACGACCTCAAACACTTGTTGCTTGGATTCTAGCCACTGATGAAGATGAAGTACAAAATTAGTTAGAAGCAAACTTATAGAGTAGATTTCTGTCTTACATCGAATACAAACACCTTGGATATGAGGAACAAACAGGACCCGCTAGTAGAGAGCTGTAAAAGGAGTTCATTAATATTACATCAAATACTATTATGTGGATATACAGTACTCCTAAGAAATGGTAAACAAATTAATCAAGTTAAACTGTATAAATTCCTTAGCCTCTTTACTTATCTAATCTTTTCTAGTCGAATCAGTTTAATTGTCAATTGAGACATAAAATTCACGTACGACTAATTCATATCTTGAAGTTCACCTATTAAATTTTATAATTACATATACAATTATAGAACAACACCTAGATTATAAAGCTCATTTAAACAACAAGCCTAAAATATCGAAATGATATTTCTTAAGAAGACTATAACTTAAGTTTCTTAAAAAGGCTATGTAAAAATCGGATAATAACAGATGCCAAGACTTAAAATACTCTGTTTTTGCGATATAGAATAACCCACCGCAATGACAGACCAATGATTGATGTACAATATGGCGTAGAAAAAAATAAGAACGACGAATCGGCAGATGGCGATGGCCACAACATCGAAGAGCGATTTGTAGATGGTGTACTCCACGATCTGTTTGTGGAAGGCATTGAATATATTGTCGCCGTTGATCTGTAAAACGAATGAATGAATCTCAGCTGCATATTATTCGAATAATACGACCACATACCACAATGCAAATGAGCCAGAGCAATGAAACGAAAACCAAGTCGAATGTGACAAAGAGGCAGAAAAATCTCCGAACCACGGACATCCTACCATCCTGCATATATCCGGCCAGGAAGTCCTCCGTAATCAGGTTGATGGAATGTGCTCGCGCTGAAATCAGTTTTTCATCTTAATAGTTTCAGCGTCATTTGCATATTTAAATGGTTTTATACTTACACATATCATATGGCATGTTGTAGGCGCTGTTGCCCTGCCTCGCATTGGCTAAAATCAGCTGGGCGGTACTACGGACATCACTTGGATCCATATGAGACATGGTGAAGTTGGTTTTACTAAACTTAGCTCATGACTTGACTATAAAAACATAAACATAAGGTATAGTTAGTCATGTTATGTTCAAAAAATTGAAGATAACAAACTATGCCAAAGCATTATATATGTATGTACCTTGTTTGCAAACGTAAATAGACGCTATGTACCAAAAACTAGATTTTAAAACTGGAGCAAAGCCATTCTAGTTATAGATCGGCAGTTACAGATTATCAATACTCGAAAATGATTCGTCAGCTTCGCTTTCTTTGTTTTTTTTTCAGGCATAAACAAAACTTCTCATATGCCAAGAACCCGCATAATACGCGAAAAATAACTCCCCATATCCGGTATACACTATTTAACAATAGAAATTAAATTCTAATACTGAAAAACAAGAGTAACTAGCGGTTTTATTATTAGCGTTTTTTTTGTCCTATATTTAAGCCTTTTAATTGCACTATCGGAACAAAAGGAAAACCGAAGAAAACGCAAAAACAGCTGTTTAGTGTGCCGAACTGGGATTATAACAAAATACCAGCTAGCCAAAAAATACCAAAATTATTTAAATAACGGTATCTTAAATATTTGAACATTTAAATTTGTATTTACAATCTCTGTTTAATTACTTAAGTGTATGGATATTATTTTAATGTCATCGTAGGGCTTGTCCGTTTTGGGATTCGCCTTTGAATTGCATATGTTGAGAACCACTTCCATGCCGCGATAAACTCGTCCGAAAACAGTGTGCTTATTGTCGAGCCAAGGCTGAAAATGAGAATTTATTAATACCTATATTATTTTAATCAAATAATGGATATTTACCGTGGGCAGGACTGTTATAAAGAACTGGCTGCCATTCGTGTTTGGCCCCGCATTCGCCATGCTAACCGTATAGGGACGATCGTGTTTTAAACTCTGGACGAATTCGTCTTTGAAATCGCTTCCCCAGATGGATTTTCCGCCCGTGCCCGTTCCCGTAGGATCGCCAGTCTGCACCATAAATCCCTTGATCACGCGATGAAATATGTGGCCGTTATAGTACCTATTAATATTGTGTAATTAAATCGTTAAGTTCACGAGTGTAATTGCAAATCCTACCCATTTTTCGCATGAACACAAAAGTTTTCCACGGTTTTTGGAACCTCCTTAAAGAACAACTTCATATGGACATCACCCTTCGTGGTGTGCAGCACCACGTTCTCATAAATACGTTGCACGACTAGAATAGATTAAACATTTTGTATTAAATTGTTCTTGAAATATCGGATAAGGATAACCTTCGTCTTGAAAAGGTGTTAGCGTGCAATAAAAAGTAGGTTAGTTGTTAGTAAACGAACACCAATTAGATAATTCCGTAACCAAATACCTGTGGCTTCTGGCACTGCGATAATGTCCTCCTTCGAAGGCTTCTCGTTGAATATATCACGATCCACATCCTGCAGATCCGACGGCAATCTTCGGCTGAACAAGTAGAACCGATTTTTCCTGGTTAAAATAAAAATTTTAATTCTTAAGTTGCATAACATTTGGTATTTGTATTTACTAACTTGTAGGCAGTGCAAAACGCTGTTGGATCATTTAAAATATTCTGCAAAGCGGGGTTTTCACTGGCCTCCTGCTCCATTGTTATTGCAGCTTTTTGTCGCTTGATTCTTCCCTGAAAAAGGGCCACCTGCAGGGGCCGAATGTTGTCCGTTTTTCCCAGAATAGTAACACAGCGATTTGTTACAACATTGATCACTTTGATACCCAGCATCGTAGGGTAAAGTAAAAAATTGCCGGTGCTGTCGAACAAAATATTGAGGGTTGTGTTTTGAGCAGTCTTCTCTAAGTCTCGCTCAGCCGCCATCCTGTAAAAGTATATGTTTAATATTTAGTTATTATAAAATTGAAATAGATTATTTACCTTCTGCCGAACTCCATGTTGGGCAATGCGTGCTGCGTTTGCTGCATTTGGGTGTAGGTGGCAAGAGCTTCATCAAATACCCGAATCAACTTGCCCGTATTGAACTGAAAAACGCGAACTTTGCGATCTGTGGAAATGGCGGCAAAACGCTTGCCATCTGGAGTGGCAGCCAAACCCGTGACTTGGGTCTTTTGTTTGGCAAACTCAAAGAGGCCTTCAAAAAATGATTACAATTAAATAGGGGGTAACTAAAGTTTCATATTAAACCATACTTGTGTCGAGTTTAGAGTCAAAGTTGACCAGGCGCTGCGGAAACTTGTAGTCGTGCTTGGAGTTCTGCCAGTACTCCAGAATGCCGTTTCGATCCACAGAGATGACTGTTTCCATGGCCACATTCAAACACATGGCCACCACAGGCGCCGAGTGAAGTTTCTCTAGAGTGTTCAGGACTTCTCCGCCTCCTTGTCCGTCGTAGATGTGTATGCAGCTGCTCTCCGAATCCGAACTAAAAGTGAAGTAATCTTCAGTGGCCGGTCAATTGGTTTTAACCACCTACTTACATGGCCAATCCCTGTACGGCGTCTCCTGGTCCATTTATCCACTCACTGCACTGCGGTGTGTAACCCAAGCGAATGATGTTTATCATATCAAAGTTGACCACATCGAAGACCTTGGCCGTCTGATCCGTGGCCGCCGAGCAGAGCAGCGTGCCACTATCATTCGTGGTTAGAGATTTTATGGGTACTAAATAATTAATTGTGATAAGTTAAGCAAATTAGTTTTTTTAAGGTATAAACCAACCAAGATGGCTGCGGAAATGCTTGACAAACTCAATGCCTAGCTCGCCCTTCTTCCAGAACTTGATGTGGCCGTCCAGACTGGCGGTAACCACGAAATCTGTCTTAGTGCAAACTAGATGTGTGATTACATCGCGGTGCATGTAGCTCCTTTCGTAGCTCTCGGCATTGGGCAGGTTCTCCAGGTAAATGTGTTCGTAGGGAAGGACTATTGGAATTATTGGGGATAAGTTCTAAGTATACAAGTTAAAAAGGTTTTTATTTACCCTTCTTTTTCTTTGCCGCCACAGGGGCGCTTTGCTCTGAAGGCATCGGTCCTATCCAAGCGTCCTCCTCGCCCTCCGCCTCTTTCTCGAGCGCTGTTCCATTCTGAGGTTCCTCCTCCTCTTCTGGAGCACTACGCTTTCGATCCTCCTTGGTTTTATCACTCATTTCGGGGTATAATAAACAAAAACACCAGGAATACGGATAAGATTTGGCCGCGGTTTGGAGGGTAGTGTTGGAAAATGCGCTGAAACAGCTGATTGTAGCTTGGGGTGAACGTGGACAACGGATTTTCTGGAAACGGCTTCCAAAACTCATCAAAATTACAAGCACAATACGGCAAAGAAATTCCAATTGAAATCTTTTCCCGGAATAATCAGGAAAAACTTCGGGAATATTTGGAATAACTTTGCCGCCGTTTACCGTGTAGTGTTGCAGAACGACCCGAATCAGCTGTTTTTCGCCAGAGGTGACAGCGCTTTTGTGTGAATGGCTCGCAATATTCACACAAATTGCAAACACAACAAGGCACGGAGATTTAAACAAATTAATTGTATATAAAAACGCAAGCCTAGCGATGCAGAACATAGCGGACGAGAAGGGCGCGTCGCCCAGTCTCGCGGCAGGGGGCGTGGCCGCCGGTGGAGCAGCCGAGGGCGACGACGGCGGTGGAGGAGGCAACAACAACAGCAGCGGCGGTGGCGGCATCATTGTTTTGAGAGCTGCGCTGGGAGAGAACGAGACGAGAGCGGTAATCAATAAATGGCGGGTTCGCGAGGGACAATTCGTGTCGGCGGCCCAAATCCTGTTTCTCTACCAGCCCGTTGGCGACGATGGAAAGCCCGGAAAGGTGACTGGCGGCGGCGACTCTTCCATCCAGAGGTACAAGTCCCAGCGCGCCGGGGTGGTGAAGAAGCGGCTCCGCAAGGACGGGGAGCTGCTGGCGAAGGGGTGAGTTTGTGGGTGGCAACTGACAAGTGGGCGTGGGGGGAATGCAATTATGCAGCTCGTATACACACTAACCGAGCCTGTCCTTTAGGGATGCCATTCTGGAGTTGTCCGAGTGCATACACACCACGGTCATCAAGGACATGTGCGCGGACTGCGGAGCCGACTTGCGTCAGAACGAGAATGTGAGTACATACAATCGCCCACGAATACTGAATAATTGAAAACCCTCCACTCGCAGGGGCAAACATCGGAGGCCTCGGTGCCCATGGTGCACACCATGCCCGATCTTAAGGTCACCCAGAAGCTGGCCCAGAAACTCGGACACGACGACACCCGCCGCCTGCTGGCCGACAGGAAACTGGTTCTGCTCGTCGATCTCGACCAAACGGTGATCCATACCACCAACGACACGGTGCCGGACAACATCAAAGGCATCTACCACTTCCAACTGTACGGCCCACATTCCCCGTGGTACCACACGCGCCTGCGCCCCGGCACCGCCGAGTTCCTGGAGCGCATGTCTCAGATGTATGAGCTGCATATCTGCACTTTTGGGGCGCGCAATTACGCGCATATGATTGCGCAGCTCCTGGATCCAGAGGGCAAGTTCTTCTCGCACAGGATTCTGTCCAGAGATGAGTGCTTCAATGCCACTAGCAAGACAGATAACTTAAAGTGGGTTTACTGTTCCATCAGGCATGTTTCTGTTTGCACTTTCGAATGATATACAAAAAAAAATGTAATATAGTTTGCAAAAAACTGGTTTCGAATTCGAAAAATATCTTAAAAGTGAAAACAAAAACAGGCCTATAAAATATTATTGCAAACATTTAATTGGAAATCGTTAATTGCAGAGCTCTGTTTCCCAATGGCGATTCCATGGTGTGTATTATCGACGATCGGGAGGATGTGTGGAACATGGCCTCCAATTTGATTCAAGTGAAGCCCTACCACTTTTTTCAGCACACGGGTGACATCAATGCACCGCCCGGAATGTCCAAGAACGAGCTGGACGGTGAAGGTGTCGACTTTAAAGGTTAGTATGCAGAACCACTAACTTCCAATTGTCCGTAACAAATGCCCGATTCCTGCAGAGATTACCGAGAAAAAAGAGGACAAGGAAAAAACGGAATCCAGCGATGTAAAACAAGAAGACACCGATAAGGGCGACAATACTGTCACAAGCACAAGTAAAGATGATGAGGGGAATGAGGAATCGGTGGACGTTTTCGAACTGGAGAGCGACACTAAGGATGCAGAGATTTCCAACTCCTCAACTGCAACAGAGGCACCCAAAGAGCCAAGCGACAAGTTAAATGGCAAAACAGTTGCAGAGGAAATTATGGTCATAGACGACAGTTCATCTGGCTCACCGGATGCTGAAAAGGCGGCCAGCGATGGCGAAGACGTAGTTGTTATTGATGACAATTCCAAGGAGAGCACAAAAGCCGAGGTGGAGGCCACACCGGCAGAGGAGAACGAGGTGGTGGCTTCATCCACTAGCTCACCAGAGGAGAAGAGCCCGAAAGCCGACGAAGATGTGGCCACTACTTCGAAGATTACTCCCAACATTCGGGTACCACTCGAGGGACAGAAGCAGATCGAGATCGAAGACCCCGACGACTACCTGCTGTATCTGGAGGTCATACTGCGAAACATTCACAAGCGATTTTATGCCATTTACGACGAGACTACGGAGATACCCGACCTGAAGATCATTGTGCCGAAGATTCGGTGCGAGGTGCTTCGCGGCAAGAACCTGGTGTTCTCCGGCCTGGTGCCCACGCAGATGAAGCTGGAGCAGTCGCGGGCGTATTTCATCGCCAAGAGCCTGGGCGCCGATGTGCAGCCGAACATTGGCAAGGAGATCACTCATTTGGTTGCGGTCAACGCGGGCACCTATAAGGTGAATGCCGCCAAGAAGGAGGCCGCCATCAAGGTGGTAAATGCGAACTGGTTGTGGACCTGCGCCGAGCGCTGGGAGCACGTGGAAGAGAAGCTCTTCCCGCTGGATCGCAAGGTGCGCAACAAAGGCCGCCAGCCACCCGCCCATTGCCACAGTCCCGAGCACGTGGTCAACTATAGCGAGCGGTCGGAGATCTCACCATCGAGCAGCAAGCAGCAGGAGGAGCAGAGTGGCAATTTCCGCGAAACGCTCAATCCGCTGCTGGTCTTCACCAACGCGGACATCGAGTCGATGAACAAGGACTACGAGAATTTCTTCGAGTCAGACTCGTCCAGCGACGAGGGACCTGTAAATTTTGGTAAGTCTTTCACTTCTTGAACTACGTGGCACTGCTTAACTTTAGCCAAGTCAAGCTACCAAAATGGCTAGAATGATATCATTGATAACTATTTAAATGTAATGTATTTTACCAATTCTAGAAAATCCTCCAATGGACAAGAAACTGTTAAAGCGAAAACGCGAGGATGACAATTCCAATCGAGCCCATGACTTCTTCACACGAAGCGAGGATGTGATGATCGGAGCGCCAAACCTCTTGGAATATGAGATAAGCTCGAACGAGGAGGGCGACGACAATAACGAGGATGCCGATGCGGATGACGACGATGAGATGCCCAGCGCTAAGTTTCGACGAGGTAAATCATCAAACTTGGCTTATTTCGGACTTGTATTAACCATTTAATGTTATAGGAGAAGAGCTGCCGTCCGATCTGGAGATTGGCTCCGACTCGAACAGCGAGAAAGATCCTGAGGACGAGGACGACGGCGAATGGAACATGATGGGCGCCGCCCTGGAAAGGGAGTTCCTTGGCCTGGAAGATTAGCTACCCAACTTTGACTTTGACATTTAGAAATTCTGCAACATCCTTGAACACCAGACAGGGACATAAGTCCCCGCATTGGAGGGCCCGCTGCCCGGCCACCCAAGACATTTCAGTTTCACTGTAGAGCAAGGAGCAACGCAATTATATGGGTTTCGTGCTAGAGTGGAGCATCCGGGTACGCTTATGCTTAGGATCTGTACTGTATGTATTAGCTGTTAATATGTACTTTTAAAGTAGCTTGTAAGAGATTGCACATCGACCGGCATTGCGGGTCCTCCAATCGAAGTGAATTTTTAAATCAAAAACTCTCATTCTGATCTAATGTAAATTGAAGCCTACTGTAAATGTTTTAAAAATAAATTCCGTTTCAGCGGACTAGTATCTAGTGTTTAATTTAAAAACCAATGTACACCACACCAGTAGTTGTTTATTGTTTGCGTTGTGTTTGTAATACAAATCCACATTAAACTTGAACAAATATACGAGTAATTCCCAGCTGAAGTTTTACTCTTCGCTACGTTTTGTTAAGTGCGCGCTGCTCCTTGAAGCGGCTAACCCGCTTTTTGGGCGCATGTGAGTCGATGAATTTGCCCTGAGGCAGAGGCTCCGGTGCCGTGGGCTCCTTCTCCACGATATTATGCATGACCTTCTGGTAGGCACTCATGTCGCGCAGGTCGTCCTCCAATGTGCGCTCTTTTTTCTTCTGCTTCCGTCCTTTTTTTCCCTTCTTTGGTTGCTGGTTGACGATGTGTGGCTCCATCTCCACAGCCTCCTTATTCCGGAGTATCGACTTGGTACCAGATTCGGGGTCAGTAGATTCTCCCTCTGAATTACTTGGCTTGGAGAACTGCAAAGCTAGAAGGTTAAAATATATTCTTACTTGATTTTAATGATCTTACCTGGCTTCTAGGATCTTCATAGGCTGATTCACGCGCAGCTTCGCTCATAATGGGCACTTTAACATGCTCCTCGCCTTCAAAGCCATTTACATATATAGGAAACGATTGGTTAAGCTGTGCCACGTCCTTCTCATATTTCTCATAGAAATCGCCTGGGTTTCCAGGTATGGCACTATCTTGATCACTTTTGGGAGAAGGCACAGCATCGGAATGTTTGAAACTAATGTGTAATGTGTTAATACGTCCCGTGGACTCCTCCAGAATTCGATCGAGCAAATCAAAGTCCTGGACACTCTGATTTTCCTTGACAAACTCTATGTTTCTTTCAACTTTCTGTAAGATATCGGAGTTGGTTTTACGCTCGTTTTTATTGGCTGCTGGTTGTGGGGGGCTTGGAGGTTTGACAGGTTCGTCTAGCTTTATAATATCCCTGGAATTCTTCTTTTTTGCATTGGGGAGCATTTCGGCCACAGTTTCCTCACGTCTAAACTCTAGCTTTTCATCGGCAAGAGCAAAGGAAATACGGCGTTTATTTGTGCTGGCTTCAGGTACTACTTCAGGTTCTTCAATGATCTCTTCTTGTGAGTTTTTTTCATCGCCATCCCCTTCCTCGCTGGTCTCTATCTCCTGCTCGAAAATCATGTCCTGCAGATCGTCCTCTAGCATGACCACCACGTTCATTAAGTGAATCAGCTCATCGCTTATAAAGTTCACCTTTTGTATCATTCGCATTTTGGCCTTGAGCACCTGCAGTTGAGCTCTGAGGAAGGGTTCACGTTCTTCGTTGGGAAGCAGAGACATCTGCTTTCGTATGGTTTGCACCTCCTCTTCTTGGTCCTCATCATCATCCTCATCATCTGATATGCGTTCTTCAATATCCACAGGTTTTTTAATGCCTCCTACCCGTTTTTTGGTGGAAGTCTTCGTTTCGCCAGTCATTAGTTGACGCACTAGATTTTCTGTGCTTTTCAGGCTTTCTGCTGCTTCTGAATTGAGATCTGCGGCTTCGTTTTGCTCCTCAGCCTCAAGCTTCTTCCAGAGCTCCGACTCCTGCTCCTGGCTAATGGTTTTGGCAGGAGGTTCGGTATGTGATGACTTGCTTTCTGGCTCCACATTCAACAGGTCTTGCAGCTGCTTATCGTTGATATCATCGGGATCTAGACCCAGTTCCTCTATCATTTCGCGCTCCTCTAGCTTTCTCATCACATCATCATCGCTCCCTGGAGGTTCTGCCTGGCGTGTGAGGCGCTCCTTTTGCTTTTGCTGGCGCACCCGCTCTCTATGCTCGGTCATCCACTTGTTGTGCGACTCTTCGTTGAAATCTTCCACGATTTCTACTTGATCCCCATTGGGAACCGCTCCCTGCTCCAAAGGGGTATTAAGTTTGTTTCTGAAAGTCAAGTATAAACATTACTTTTTCCGATTTCTGTAACAAGATCCACTTACTGCCAGAGCTCGGACTCGATTTCCAGCTTTTTCAGCTGCTCCTCGGCCAATTTCAGGCGATGGCGACATATCTCTTTGGCCTTGTTGGCGGAGCACGCCGAAAAGTAACCCTCGTAGTGACCCACCAGGAGTTCGTTGGTGTGGATCAGCTCGCCGGGCATCAGGGCCTTCCGGCCAATGGGCACCATAACCTCCACACTGAGATTCTGGACGAACATGTCCAAGTTCCGGATGGTGGACTCATTGTCGGATTTGAATGCCTGCCAGCGATCCGTTTCGCTGGCGTTCTTATCGAGGGCCTATTGTGCGGGGTTTCCAATGGGAATCCATTAGTAATTGCATTTAAATATTTAAAATAATATTACCTGTCGCAAAACATCCTCTCGCCGGTCCATTGTTTTTGTTGTTTGGGTAAACAGTGTGACCGTTGCGCGGCATTTAAAATATACTCATTAATTTTTAAAAAATTCGTTAACATTCCTTAAGAAAATTTTGATTAATTGGAGGTTGTTAATTTTTTAACTTTGTGTATGGTCACGAATATCCCTCATATATTGATAAGAAATGAGCTAAAGTAGCTTTGCGCAAGTAAATAAAATTGAATTTTAAAATTCATGTAAATCATTTTATTTTTGATTTTGATGTTAAATTTATCATTAAATTTTGTTAATGAACCACTGACCCTTATTTTATAGTTTTTATACTTAATTATTGAAAACAAAAATGATTCCTTAGTATTTTCCTAAGCTTTATCCATCCACTTAATAACTAAAATAAAACTTCTACAATTTTTCAAAAAGCTTTTTTAAAGTCAGATATATTTACTATTTTGATTTTAAAGGTTACAATCTATTTCTGATCTTAAGATTGGTTCAATGTTCAAAGTATTATACATATTTCAAACATACAAAATAAATTCAGCTTTATGGTATTAATCATAGTCAAATTTAAAAATTAAATAAATATTTTTTCGATATTTATCTAGCATTTGAAAATTATGTTGTTTTTCATGTGCCATACGAATTTCACAATCTTATGAATGCCCAAAAGCTTCCTTTTTGATCAGCCAATTATATACCCAAAACTAGTAAAGCACCCAGTAGCTACAACAGTTTTGCAAACAATAAAGATAACAGCAGATAGCAGGTCGCAAGTCGTTCCATATGCCTGATTATAAATCAGCTCTATTCGACCCCTCAACAACCAATTTCCATTAAGTGAATATCAATCCATGGCCTCCATATGTTGCCATCTGATAAGAGCCTCTGAAACAAACATGGACAAGGACCGTTAACACTCAGGCTGATTACGAAATTAAAATGTGATTGATTTGAACTTTATTAGGTTTCGGGCATTTGCTAAACACAAGCTCACTCGTAAATATTAAAAACGCACCCCAGACTAGCAGGTTGCTCACTACCTGCCTGGACTAAGTCACATTGAACAGATTGCAATATGGGATGATTTCTAGTTCGGCTGGTTCACATTCAGATTTCCACTCATAACATGACCTGGGGACATGGGCTTCTGGTTGATTGAAACGGTATATACATAGAAAATATACAGGGATAAAGCTTTTGTTGTCCTATGATCCATATGCCTCAGTTGCGGTGCGTATTGGAAGCTGAGCTTCCGAGTACGGGAAAGTTCTTGATGAGGTCATGCGCCTTCTGGTGGTCCTGTAAATCGGCGGTGATGAGGATCTGTTTGCAGACCTTGCAAACTTCAAGCGTGGGCACGGATTTGCGCTGGGCAGGCGACAAGCTATTCAGATGCTGTTTGTGCACTAGATAAAGTTCCTAAAAATAATGAAAATTAATGAGTTACTTTAAAAATAAATAACAAGTTTCTTAATCAACGGTTCAAACCTGTTGCTTGGTTATATCAGGCAGCATGGCGAGCAGCTCCGGGAACAGATTGTAAAACGAACTAAACATGGCGCACTGGCAGTGCTCGTAATAAGCTTGACCAGAACATGATCCATCTCGGAACTTGGACGATAGCATGCGAAATTCGTTTAATGCCTCTGGCGTTTGTAGTAGACTCATAACCTGGTCAACCAATTTCTAGACGGGGAAAAAATGTTAAGTCAATTAAATTGTATGTTATTGCAAAATATATTCCCTTACCTGATTCCTGGAACCGGTATCTGGTGGATCGGTGTACGTATACGGGCTAGGTACAATGTTATAGGACTCGCCCATCGAACTAGTGAATGTGAGATTGTTAGGCAGCTTGGCCACCGAGTTGACAGTCACATTGGACACAAATCCGGGTGGTGGTTTGAGCGATCCTCCAGATCCTAAACCAGGTGGAGCACGTATTGGTGTAGTAGGAGACCCATTGGTTGATTTTTGTTCGTTGTTATTGTTTTTCTCTTTTTGCTTGCCCGCCTTGGGCTGATTCTCCAGATTGTTCTTTTTATCTTTCGCTTTTTTATCTTTTTTGTTGGCCTCCTGGACATTGTTATTATTTACCTTGGGTGCCGGTTTTGCAGTGGGTGTGGGCAAAACAGGGGCAGGTGCCACCTTGGCCTTCCGATTTTCCAGTTCACGCTGCTTCTTTTCGGACGTTGGCTTTGACCAATTTAAGGAGCCAGATCCATTGGCTGGCTTTGGCGCATTTCCCCTGCTGGAACTGGCACCGGCACTGGCACTCGGACCCAGGCTGGGAAACTCCGAAGCGGTGAGCTTGGGAGCACTCTTCTTCAAAGCCTCTTGACGCGCCTTGGCCTCGTCCTCCTCCTTTTGTACCATTTGCAGCTTATGGAAGTTGGTCGGGTTAGCCACCGACACATAATCATCGGCCAGAGACCGGTGCTTGGCAGATATATTAGTCAAAGGCACTGCTGAACCGCTGGGCAACATATCCTCCTCCAGATTGCGCAAGTTCTTCTTGTTGCCCTTTCCTGGCAAAGCGGGAAAGTCTAGCTGTGGAGCGGCTGCTTTTTTGGGCACGGCTGCTGGTCGATTGGATACATGCAAGAGCATTCCATTGCTGGACGGTGTATTGCGACTGCCGGAAGAGGCCGCCGTACTTGTTGGTTTCTTAAAGACAGCTGCCACTGGATGCTGGGACTGAGCAGCTCTGGCGGCGAGGCTGCTGCCAGTAGGACCGGCAAAGCCACCACTATTTCCCCCTCCAAGAGCTGGAAAGTTCTCTTTGGTCCGAGCAAGTCCCGAGGTGCCGCTGAGATTGCGCATCGAGGGCGGCGGCGGTCTTACAAGGGACACGCTGGGTGCTGTGGTGGCGCCTCTCAATGTGGGAAACTGTTCCTCGTTGCCAGCATCAATGCTCACATGACGTTGGCTACTTGATGGCAAATCGTCCAGGTAATCGTTGTGCTCATCGTTTCTATAAAGATACCGGATTTCGGTAAAATCTTTTTAGCTTTAAGGGAACGCAACGCACTTACCTCGCTCTCATGTTGGCTATGCCCTGCTCCGTCTGACCGCTGCGTCCGCGCGGCCCTAAGGTGATTTCCAGCTGCAGAGTGCGCGTCTGTTTGGCCTGCTGCTTATTGAGAGTATTGCCGTGCATGTTGGCCACGTGCGCCTTGTATTCAATCTCATTGCGGAACGCGCCGACGAACTGCTCGGTGGCGCATTTGCCCTCCTCGCAGAGAAAGTGCTCTTGTCGGAAATGATCCGCCAGATCCGCATAGTCGTTGTAGAACTCGTTGCAGCCGTCGGCATCGCAGAAGTGGCAGAAATAGTGCTCACGCCGCAGATGCCGGAACAGCTCATCCCGGTCCAGGTAGCGTTTCTTGCAGTACTCACACAGCGGATGACCGCGATGCGATCGATTGTCCGGATCGCCCTTGGCGTTGTGCAGCTGCAGCTCCGCCTGTGTGTAGCACCTGCGCTCGAAGGTGAAGATCTTGAGGGTCTCTACGCAGAGATCGCAATACAGCAAGCTGTGCTCGCTGCGCACATGGGTGCGCAGGCCCTGGAAAGTTCGGTACGGAGGGGCATCGCATCTGGTTTTCAGCCGAAAAGGGGGAATCACACTACTATAACAAAAGTACTGATATGGCACACTTACTTGGGGCAGGGGTGGTCGAGCAGCTTGAAGAACTGCTGCTGAATCTCGGCGCTGCAGAAACCGATGCGGTATTTCTTGCTGTAGAAATCGGAGCGGTTGTTGGCTTCCAGTTCGCGATAAGGAAGTTTCTCCAGCGTGAACAGAACCTGGAATGGTAAGAGGTTTTTACATGGGCTTCTCTTTACAGAATAGAGTTTTTACCTTGGACAAGACGTGGCGGCAGATGGGGCATTCGTTCTGCTGGCAGAGCACCCGCATCCGGGTGGAGCACTCATAGCACACCGGATGATCGCAGTCCCCAATGGAGTAGATGTCCACATTCTTGAAACACACCACGCAGGCATTGTCGTCATTCCCCACCTGGTAATCCGTTGCCTCCGGCTTGACGGCAGCGCTCTCCGTGGCGGAGTTGGGCACTCCGGATCTGGGGCGACGGTGGTACGACGGCCTGGCCGCGGATCTCGGCTTTCCGTTCTGCATTTCTCTAGAGGTTTCGCAGCGAATGGAAGGGGGGAATTACTTGTTGCCAAGGGCACTGAAAGATCAGAGTGCTCTGGTGAATCAGCTGGTGTTTTTCGGATCCCAGGTACTTCCTAGAGTACAATACTGCACTTGGCCAGCGAAATCAATCAAATAAATGGAATATTTGCAACGCCAAACACGAGGCAACATGCACACACGTCAAAAAACTAGAAGGGAAAACTCTGAAATTAGAAAACCCGATTGCGATGGGCTGCAGTTCATCGATAACAGCAGCTCGCAGCCCTGGAGTTATCGATATTTAGCGGTTGAAAGCTCGCTGAATGTCAGGTTTACATATTGTTTGAAAACTGATGACAAGCCGAATGAATATTTTACAAAGTCAACATTTATTAAACCAAAACCTATAAATTTTAACTAAACTATTAGTTACTATATATATGATTGCTGTGTGACAGCCGTTCTTCAGGGTATTTTCACTTACCCAACTTAACACCTGGTTACCACTACCACATACATATTTGGAATGCACTTGCTAGTTTTGTAATTTCTAACATTTTTTCTAAATAACATATCTAGGCAACTTATCTAGGTAAAAAAACTTTTAATAAAAAACTGGTTCCTACTTGTTTTTAAAGTCCTTCTATTACAGGAAGTCCACAAGTCGGAATGCGGCTATACATTGCCGTTTATACTTCTATGAGTTCGTAAATGTGTTAATATAAACAATGGTATATAATTATTACATTATTTCCTTATACACATCTGTATTATTATATAAAAAGGTAATTATAAAGCTGAAATATTTGCTAGTGGAAACAATATTTAAATCACTTTACGGAATACCCCCATTATTTCCTAGAAAAGCAGTTCGATGACTCCGCCAATCGTCTATCGATAGTTTACTTCCAGGGCTGAACCATAATGTTGGCAGAAATTACAAGGAGTTCATTTTACGCTTCACGTGCGGTCGCTCGTCTCTCTGGTTTAATTCCAACGTCATCAGCGGTTCTTACCAATAGTTCAAGACATATTCAAATAGAGCAAAAGCGCACGAAACCATTCAAAATGGCTCTGTACGAAACCGTTGAGAAGGGCGCCAAGAATTCGACGAGCTACAGCCTGTATTTCAGTGAGTAGGCCAAAATTCCCGGCCCAATGTGACCCGGCATAACCCTCTAGCTTCCCAACTATACATTTGCATTTTACCCGAACCCAATGCAGTTACAACACAGGGGTTTAGTTAATCGCAGCCGGGCTGATTATGCAACAAGTCAAACCGGACTCTGCTTATTTAACTCGTCGCTTTATCAGCACTATCAGCCGATTTGTCTTTGCGGCGGAACTGGCGGAAATACCAATAGGTTCGGTCTCTTTGGCCTTATCTTTGTTTATTATAGCTTCCATATAGCAGATATCAAATTGGGGGCCAAGTTTCAGTATACCAATCAAGATTGGCACGCTAAATTTGTGACCTTTGTCTAGACGACTGGGTTTCGAGTACTATCAATCAACTCGCGTGTACCAAGTGTCATCTATATATCATTTCTCTACTAATTTCTGGCCACTCTCCACAGAAAACAAGTGCGGCAATGTCATCTCGCCGATGCACGACATTCCACTGTACGCCAATGAGGAGAAGACCACCTACAACATGGTTGTGGAGGTGCCACGTTGGACCAACGCCAAGATGGAGGTAAGCCTATCTTTCTCCAGTTCAATACACTTTAATAATTCAACTATTGCATGTCCGAACCCGAACCATTAGATTAGCCTGAAGACCCCGCTAAATCCCATCAAGCAGGACATCAAGAAGGGCAAGCTGCGGTTCGTGGCCAACTGCTTCCCGCACAAGGGCTACATCTGGAACTACGGAGCCCTGCCCCAGACCTGGGAGAACCCCGACCACATTGAGCCCTCCACCGGCTGCAAGGGCGACAACGATCCCATCGATGTCATCGAGATTGGCTACCGTGTGGCCAAGCGCGGCGATGTGCTGAAGGTCAAGGTGCTGGGCACCATTGCCTTGATTGATGAGGGCGAGACCGACTGGAAGATCATTGCCATTGATGTTAACGATCCTCTGGCCTCCAAGGTTAACGATATTGCCGATGTGGACCAGTACTTCCCTGGCCTGTTGCGCGCCACCGTTGAGTGGTTCAAGGTAGGCTTCAACTTCCTTTAAAGGTACCTTAGCTAACTCCTTGTGCTCCACAGATCTACAAGATCCCCGATGGCAAGCCGGAGAACCAGTTTGCCTTCAATGGCGATGCCAAGAATGCTGATTTTGCCACCACCATCATTGCCGAGACCCACAAGTTCTGGCAGAATTTGGTGCACCAGAGCGGCGTTTCCAGCTCAATCTCCACGTGGGTGTCATCCCTAATAGCAGTATCGAACATTTAGCTTAATATCCCCTATTTGCAGTACCAACATCACCAACCGCAATTCGGAGCACGTAATTGCCAAGGAGGAGGCCGCGAAGCTGCTTTCCGAGGCTCCTGAGGGCGGCCAGGTGGAGGAGGTGTCCGACACAGGTAAGGTTCACTATGTTAGATCGAGCTTATAGCTGCTTCACCCGATCCCAACCAAAAACCACGCTACTCCAACACCTGCTTTAACCAGAAACTTGCACACAAATTGGTTACGAAAACCCAACCTGCATGCTTACTAATAGTTACTTTAATATGTCCAGTTACCAACCAAAAACTCAAATTACCCCACGCTGTAAATACTGCTTAAAACCCAATACCTGTAATTGGCTGGCTTGCGTTTGTTAACCGTTTTATATATGTATTAAATGTGATGTTGAAATAAACCTTTTTAAAACCATGCCCCTTTGTTATTGCAGTCGACACTTGGCACTTCATTCATCTCAAGTGAGAGGTCCTCTTGGAATGATTCCACCACAATATCCACGATCTAATCGTTGTCTAATCGAATCGGAAATGCTTGCACTTGTGAATTATTGATATTGAAATATATAGTACGTTGAATAAATTTTTGCACCGCAATCAAATTCGCTGCGGACTCCTCTTGAAATATACAATTTTTATTTATACTTTACGACTAGATCCAAACAAGTTTAAATTAATTAATAGTTATGTAATTGTAGGGTATATGCAATTATACATAGAATCGAATCGAATTATGCCTTGTGGGGTTTCTCGGATGTATTTTCGGTTCTATTGCCGGGGGTGCAAATGTGGGGAGGTGTGGAACGTAAAATTTATTGCCGTAACAAGTTAACTTAAACTTACGAAATAAAAGAAATGTACAAAATAGTTAGGCGTTATAAATATGTATGTATAGAAATCTTTAAAAGAAGACAAAAATAATTTATTTACATCAGACATTTTGATTCTTGTTCGTTCGTTCGTTTGTTAGTTTGTTCTCTTATTTGTTTGTTGGCTTTCTTTACTTAATTTGCTCTTGCGCGAAGAACTGAAAGAAATTATCATAATTCTCGTAGTAACTAAAACTAAAAGATCCACGAGATTGATTAACTGATCGATGTGCATGACAGAGAATAATAAAGATAAATAAAAACCAATTTTTAATAACCCGATATCGGTGCGGATAAGTAACGTGTAATAGCTTAGTAATTGTTTTCATCATTTTTTTTCAACATTTTTGATCTGCTTTCTCTTGTAGCTTAGTCGTTAGTTTAGTTATTTCTTTAAGTGGTACACATTCCTCGGGTCGATCGTTTCCTGGTTGCCATTGTTTCGTGCCGTGTTCTGCCACAGTTATCAATAATACGTAGTGTACTTTAGTTTATTTTAGTTAATAGTTTATAGAATTAAGTAGCTGCTTGTGCCAGTGACGGTGCCAGTGCCCAGAAAATCGCAGTTTACTTGCGTCCCAGGGTGTCGCGCCATTCGTTGTACTTGTCCATCTCCTCGTGCAGCTGAAGAGCCTCTATGCAGGCGTTGAAGAAGGGCGATCCAAAGCATTCTTGCCTGTTTTGAATAGATCGAAAGGGGATTAGAAAACCTGATTTAAATCTACATTTTTATATAAAATTCGCTCAAAAACTGGAGCCAAAATGTCAAAAATTATTTGTGTGCTTTGTGATATACAAGAAATTGCACACAAAAATACAAATATTGCACAAACTTATTTTTCCATATTTTTCTTTTAAAAAGGTTGAGGAAAAATGTCAAAAATTCATATTAATGCTTGGTTCAGATGCAAAAACTTCTGAGCATAAAATGTGAAAAATATCAAAAGAAATTAAAGTCAAAATTTTTAATATTGTACCAAAACGGTACCATAATATAATTATTTTATGATTTTTCACAGTGATTTTTGACCAAGTTTGCTTAAAACACAGAAGCGAACAGGTCAAATTCAAAGTTATAAAAAGGGAAAATTAAAATTGAAAATGTAAAAGAAAATTGATCACAATATTTATATATAATAGGCTTGGGTAAGTGGCTAGAAGCCCAAAAATTCACAAAAGTCAAAAATCAAATTTTAATTAAAAAAAATAAAAATAAATAAAAACGTACCAAAACAAAAACGGTAAGCAGGCGCTTTTAGTCGCGCCGAAAACGCGCCCAAGTCGCCGGCTGCTGGCTGTCTCTTTCACATCCTCTATGGCGGTCTCTTTCTCTGGCGACTGTTTGTCTCTTTCGCAGCCCCTATAGCGATCTCTTTCTGGGGTGTCTGGGTCTCTGGCCGTTCTGCGTCTCGCATTCGCATTCTAATTCTCATTTATCACAATTTTGATGCTCTCAAATAGCCAGCGAATGATTATCTTTTATTATTTTACATGGGGTTTTATAATCGTTATTGCCACATTTGTAATGCAGTCCTTTTTCGCGTGTTTTTACCGGGGGTTTTTGTTTGTGTCTTGCACAAATTGCGTTCTTGCGTTTTTTTTTTGTTTTAACATTTATTATGGGTTTACTGTAGTCGTAGTATGCGGGTAAATGTTAGGTTTAGCTTTAGATAGGTATATATATCCTCCTTTCGCCAACAGATTTACGCTAATTAGGGGTTTTATCTTTACAAAATAGCACAAAATTGTAAGTGTAATACATTTGCAAAATACTTTCGGTCTCGTGTGCGGTGTGTGTGTTTACAATGGAGTAGCTTTATATTTTCGCCCTTGCGGGAAATCGCGTAAAACGTTAATTTTAAATGCTGATTTTACAATAGAATACAAAAATAAAAATAATCATTTTACATTACATGAATTAAAAACAATGGATCTCGTTTTGTTTATTTTATATACACAACGCATAACGCAATAATAATAAAACAAGCTAAGAATACTTAAAAATAAATACTTCGGCTTCTATATGGGTGAGTTACGAGATATGCGAAATCCTCATCATCATGATCATCATCGCTAATCTCTCACTCGCCCGATTATGTTACTTACAACAAACGCATAACGTTCTCAATAAATTAATAAAAATAATTCGTTTTTAAAAAAACACATATATAGTAAAAACTGTAAGGCATACAGTAATAAATAAGTACGAATTAAATTTGGGCGTTTTAATATTTTAGATTTCTTTGTTCTGGCTCTGCATTTGTGGTTGTAGTTGGATTCCCATTCTCCATTCCACGTCATTCGCAGCGAATTTCAACTGTGTGTGACTGTGTGTAGTTGTGTGTGTGTGTGTGTGTGTGTAAGGGGGGTGGGGGGACTTAGAGTTATGTTTGCGGCCCCATGTTGAAGGATATGGGCGAGCCATTCACTACTCTCAGAAAGTGCTGTAAGTTCGATATTTCCTCTTCGGGTATTAACAGCACTTTCAGGCATTCGCCAAACCATTTTGAATCAAAGCAGTCTTTCCTAAAATTAAACACGAAAATCATAATGAAACACAACGGTAAAGGTAACTCAAAGTCGTAAAGATAAATAATAGATAAAATCAAAAAAATAATGTCGTAAGCGGAAACGAAAGTGGAAACGGAAGTGGAAAACGAAAGTGGCAGAAAGTAAGGTGTCTAGTGGTAAACGGGCTTGTGAAACGGATAGGGCGATCCGTTGATCACTTTCAGATAGTGCTGCAGCTGCGATATCTCATCATCGTCGATCAGCAGGACCTTCAGGCAGTCCCCGAAGGTCTCGTGGACGAAACAATTAGCCCTGCATCGAATAGACAAGAAATACAGATATAGGAGGTTGCACAGAGAAAAGAATCCGAATGATAATTTAAGGCGAAAGAATAAGCTTTGCTACAGAAGTTATTCAGTGTTATAAAAACTATTTAAAATGTATCTTTGATGATTTATTTGATTACTGGAAAAAAATCAGAAGTATTTTTTAGCAAAATAAACTTTAGACATCTTTCTAAGTAAATCTCTCAAAGTTTATTTTTTCATGAACTATTACAAAGACAAATGTAAAAATATTAAAGCTATATCAATGAGCATTAAAATCAAAATTGAGTTATTTAATATTCTGATTTCTTACTTTGATCACACAAAATAAGCTAATAGATCCAAAAAAAAAGTTAATAGTTTATGCCTCGAATTAATTAAAATCTTTTAATGTGTGAATACGATTTTTAAAATTTGCCATAACTATTTTAAATTAATAATTTCGCAGATCAAAGAAAGATATGCTGAAAATCTAAATTGGCACTGTGGTCAGTTGTCGTTTTTCTCTGTGCGTGAAAGTCAAGGGGAAAGTAGCTGGCTGGGCGAGGAGAGAGCCCATAAAGTTTAGAAATAAACGAAGGTCCCGAGAGCATTTCCCGAGACCCCCGGCATTTGTGTCAGGGCCTGACAGCACTTTAGATCATAATTCGGCCGAATTAGTATCTTTTTGGCCTTGCCTTGAACGCTGTAAGGGAATCTCTGCGTCGGGGTTGAGTTAGTTAGTACCATAGCTATATCATATATGATATGATACCACCAAGACACTTACTTGCATAATCGGTGTATACTCGTCTCGCGGAACAACTGATAGCAGTCCTCGCAGATGCGGTCCAGTCGGAAGAACATGGTCTTGTTGAAGATGCCCTTGCACTCCAGATCGAAGAAATTGCTGCGCTTCGACAGATTGTGGTTGTGTGGCAAGGCGGCGAAGATTGGTATCAAGACGAGAAACAGCACCACCGAGATCTTAATTGTGCGGGAACACATCTGCAAAAGAGTGAGAAACCGGAAATGCATGTAAAAATAGATGCCTATTTATAGGTGCGATCAATTAACTGGCTGGCTGGCCATCTGCCCGGACGGTTCTTTTTCCCTCCACCCGACGACCCGGTAACTGGGTAAGCAGATATGGGCCAAGCCAAGATCGGCATCGGCATCGGGATCGTAGAAACTTGCCGCCAAAGGACAGGGGCAAGGGCAGGTTACCCAGGTGGCAATCAAGCTGCCGCTGCCGCTGCTTCTGCCCCATCGTGGCTACCCTATAAATAGACCTCGTCCGACAGAGCAGTCTGCCGACTGGCTAAAAATAATCCCCCCAACCCCAACCCCATCTCCAATCCCCAATCCCCATCCTCATCCTCCGATCGTCTGCCCAAAGGTGCAATTGCAATTGCAGTTGCTGTCGCTGGCGTTGCCGTTGCCGCAGACGATCTTATCGCAGGAAAACTCTATAAATAGCACCGGCGATTTCAATGTTTATAGCATTATTTGCCATCTGTCGGCGGGGCTTAATTTATGATGTAAGTTTGCCGCTTTGGCGGCTCAAAGGAGAGCCAATTTACGGGCGGACGGGCCCCCAAAAAAAAGTGTATATTCACACAGACCCGTATTTGTTTACTTTGCATATTTTATCAATTTGCGCGCTCGCTCGGGAATTACAGCGCGCTGACATATATATATATATACATATGCACCAAATCATATCATATATACATCTGTGGCATTCCAAACTATTGAATAATTTGATTAAAGCTGCAAATTTTTCCATTGCGCGTTGTGCCAATTGTTTGTTTGCACATGACATGTGTGAAATTCTTTCGACCCCCGTCTGAAAAATGGAAATGCTGAATGAAAACCAAAGCAGACACAACGACGTCGACTATTTTGAGAACAAGTGAATATCAACAACATGAAAGTGAATTTGTAATACCATTTTGCGCTCTTGTGCCAATGATGATTTAAACACATTCAGATTCTTTTAACGAGTTTTTTTCGGCTGTCGAATCTGACGATCTGTGCGTGCTAAGATCTTTAGCAAATTGATTTTTTATTGCCTTGTTGATGCCTTCAATTAAGTTGAGCACATTTTTTGCTGATTTATGGCCGTCGTATGGGAATTTCAAAAATGGGAATGGGGCATTCGGGACTGCGATTGCGAATGGGATTTCTTAGAAAGTTCATTAGTCGCCAGCCAATGGCCTAGGCCGAAATATATGCATGTTTTTGGCAATAAATTGGCCGGACATTAATGGGAATATCCGCCCCTAAAAGTATGCTCTAAATGGGGTTTATTTATTTAAAAAAGGAAAAATTAAAGGTCCAGCCAAGTGGAAAGACTCATTCGGTATATAATCACGTTATACCATTAAAAAGCAATTTAACATTTTGACACTTAAGTGCTAAATTTGTAGCTTAATTTTCTATTGAAATTTAGTAAGGTCATTTTTTAATGTATAATTTTATAAAAACGCTTAATCATATTTTAAATATATTTAAATGTTTAGAAATTTTGGTAAAAACCAAAAAAATATACAGGAAGCACTATGATGTCATTCTATTTGTCATTGTATGTCTTTTCAGCAAATTTTAGAGGTTAAGACCCCATGCATTATCTTTAGAAAATATTAAAAATATTTAATTGATGTGCTATATATGACTAAGATTATATTCATTTGACAACAATTTTTTTTCTGATGAAACTAATTTTTTATTTTAAGAAACGTATTTGTGTCATTCTATCTGTCGTCATAGTTAATAGGGGTTATAAATATGACGACAGATAGAATGAATACTAAGTTTAACTACTCAGACTTGTTTGTAAAATATATAACTGGGGATCATTTAACATTTATTATTGGCAAATATTAAAAATCTGAAAATAGCTTAATATTAAAGCCCATAATATTGTTTGTTTTTGATTTTCTTGAATTTAATTTGTTAACTGATAACCCAGTATAATAAAAAGTGTTACAAAGTATATTTTTATAAATGGCAAGTTATTTCTGTCTGAAGTACTCCCTATTACCCACTGGATAAAGTTTTCTTTTTTTTCGCAAATAGCGTTATCCGCAGCTGGATTTCCCCCACGTGTGTGGGCGACACTTGGCCACCGCATCGCAAAAGTGCAAGTTGTGGCCGAATGGGGAACCCAAGCCCAATAATGCCGCATAGTATTCATTTCGTCAGAGATCTCCCGACGACGTCCCAGTGCAAAGTGCAACAGCTTGCGGCGGAGCGCCTCGATTCGAATTTCCCCAATGGATTTGGCTTCGGCTTCGGCTTAAGCATCTGGTGATAATTGGCTTCGAGTTGCACGATTTATGGCATCATCACTCGGTGCAGGCGGCTATTTTTAACGCTCTTTTGCCGGCCGCATGAATGCCATAATTGATATGCGAAACGCGTCAAAGATAATGTAACATGGGCGGTGGAGGGGGGATTATGTTGTACAGGACAAGGGAAAGTTGAAGGAGAAGTTGAATGAATCGATCCGCCGATCGAATGGCGTCATCATCGTAAAAAGGAGCCAACGAACGCCGTCGCTTTAATCGATCTTCGATCTGCAATATAGCATATATGTACATATATATACCATACAGCATCTTCGATCATTATTATGAACGGCATGTGCTGGCAATTCGTTTGCATTTAACTTTTGATTAGCTGCCAATTGATTTTATTTGTCGGCCGGCGCTTTGTATCAATTCAAGTCGCGAGCGTTGTCGCACATACAAGTCATCCCATTATTCGAATTCCAGGCACTATCTATGTGTCCATATGCTCCATATACTATACATTTACATACGTATTTTTTCGTGTCCGTACCACTGAATCATTGGAGCGAGTCGCACGCACGCCTCTCAATTGCCATCTTGCTAATGTTGTTGTTGATTGCCGTCTGATTGTACACTATTCAACTTTGATTTGATTGCTGTTTTCGCCGATGGTTTTATTGCCGCTGCTGCCAGGCGACATTGAATGAAGTCATGAGCCAAAAATAATTATGCCAATTATGACAGAAAAACGGATTGTGAATTCTTTTTTGCGCAATAGTTTATAATTATTATGCCCAGGGAATAATTGGGTAGGGGGTATGCTCTATTTAAATCAAGTAGTAGAGATTTAAAATGATAAGGATTCAAATTCAGATGGCAATCTATTTATAAAATATTAAGAAAGTGTTTCTGAAGTCTTTAATTGGTTAAATATATAAATAACCTTGAGTACTTTAAATTGTATGCTTTATACTATAAGCATAATCAAAGTATTTTAAGAATATATAAAGATTCATCTGTTCGATCGTATTTTAAAGACTACATTTGAAGTCAGTGCCTTTTAAATAAAATAAATAATCTTCCCCAGTCAGATCCTCATAAATCAATGGGCATTTCAAGGTCGACTCCCTAAAGCTCGATCCCCTTTTCGTAACGCCCACCCGGAGCTGTCACGAAATGCGCTATTTATAGAATAAATAGAAGGTTCAAGTCCAGCGATTTCTTATCAGTTCCCCTTTAAATCCTACTTGGTATGTGGGAAATGTTATCGTGAGATAAATGTATACCATCGGGCATTATGTGGATTATAAAGCGGCACTGAAGCGACTGCAAAACTGTGCATTCTATATGCCAGATATACCTGATTGCGATATGTGTGTGTACCAGTACTAGCACTGCTACCATATATCTTAACGCTTGGCTACGCAAGCATGGCAAACCGAAAGCCAAAACATAAAACACAGGCCCCCTTCGGTTTTTGTTTTTGTTGTTTTTTTTTTTTGTTGTTGTTTTACAGCGCAACTAAAAAGTGCTTAGACACGCAAAAACAACAACACTAGCGGCAGAACAACAACGAGGAGCATATATAAACATTCATGGCGAGACTGCTTGGTACCACCGACTATATGCTAAACTGGCACAACGGCAACACTTGCTGCCACATTTTGCTGCTGCGCCTGCGCGGATCACTAAATGCTGCTGTTAATTTGATGGACATGCTGGAGTTTGAGCCTCCTCTCCACCAGCAATTTGCATGATATGTGTCTTCGATTAATATTCATTTATTCATGAAATCTCTGGGGTATGCTAAACAGGAAAGGCCGAATGGAAAACCAAATCTTGTGGGCCTGTTAAAGCCACTATGCACTGGAGAAAACGCTTCCTAAGACACTTGGAAATCTCATCTCACACATTTCGCATATCATCCAAATAAATATTCATGCATCACATGATTATATCACATTCGGATTATATTTTGATTAGATATATGAACAAAGGGGAGGTGTTTTTACTGTCGAGATAAGATGATACTGTTATTTTTCCTTGGTTTTCCATGAATTTTAATTAATTTAGATGATGCATCATTTTATGAGTAATTTTTGGGGAGTTGGGATATTAAAGATTAATATTCTTGAAATTGTATTATAAAAGGGATTATTAATTTTTACCAAATTTACCAAAGATCTTAAATTGAAGAGCAGAATTTTTTAGATGTCCCTAGGCGAATTTCTGATTAAAAATTGTTCTCAACAAAAACTTAATTCGATTTTTCCTTTATTTATTTGAAGGAATTGTGTATTCTTTTTAGGGACTTGAGTGAAACAAACTTTTTAAGATGAAAATGACTTTTCATAAGTTTAAATGCTACAAACAGAAATCCATGCCATGAAGAAAAGTACATTTTAAGCAACAATTAGCTTATCGTTCTGCGATGTTAAAGAAATTTCCCACAGACACACAAACTGAACTCGTGCCTAGTGCAATAGACACACTTTTTGTGGCAGTCCCAGGTTCTCTTGAATAATTCATCAATGGGGGACCTGGGCTAATTTGGTTTAATTTCCGAGCAATTTTACATCCTCCCCACTTACAGTGACTGCCGCCAATGCAGCGATTCTATGGCTTCCATCCGCGGGACGATCGATGGAGGGGGAGGGCATGGCTCAGAGTCAATTGATCTGAATATATATCCAATTGATATTATTGAGATTA